GAATTTAATTGGCTAGTTCATTATAGTAAGGTAATTTTAATATATTTGATTTAAAAATTCGCTATATCAAGAGTTCGTTATATCAAGGTTTGACTGTACTATTAAGCTTTCTCTAGAAAGTAAGATATCCAGTTTTATAATAGTTAATTTTTAGCGATTCAACTTAGATATGATTTGCCTGCTATTTTACACATATATTACCTATATTCTGAACTTCTAACAAAGTTTACATTGCCATTGTTGAGATATAGGGCAATACAATAATATTCAGGATTTGATAGCCATTTTAACATATAAGATCAACCACCATATTTAATGATTCTATTGCCTTGCAGATGTAATTCTATAAAAGAAACTACTGTATATATGCTACATTATTTAATCGTTCCTATAACTGATTTCTCTTCTTTTCTGCCCAACTTTGTGAATCATAATGATCATATAATGCAGAAATATGCTGATCATATTCAGATATGTTTTTAGCTGGAATTCTATCTCCATAATTATATCCTACCTGATTATTGTCCGAAGCGTAAACGTAGGACATTTCTAGTTAAAGCTAAAACTATGCATATGGTATCTGTCATGACGTGTGATCTGCCAATCACATTTCTATCAATCAATTTGTGTATAACACAGTTTTTTGAACATTTAATTAACTATTTAAAAAAAATCAACGTACGCAATTATAGAACACAATTAAATTATTCTAATAAGTTAGAAATTGATAATTTTTAATTTAGTAATACCGACATTTTTTTAATTAATCGTATTTTAACTTTATAAATAAACAGTATTAAAGATATTTTTATGTTATTAACGCTTCGAACGCTTCTAATGGTTCCTGTTATCTAGTAGTATATATACTAATTATCGGAAACTCTTATTTTGCGAGGAATTATACTTAGAAACTTCTTTTTGTCAGAAGTACTATCATTTCTCACTATATTCCAAACTCGTTTTGCCCATGTCTTAGGTCTCAACTTGTAAGCTCTCCAAGCCCGTTGGATAACTTTTGCATTATTGATTAAACGATTTACATGTCTTTTCCTAATTTTATATTCATATGCATAATTATAATTAGCCAAGCCTTTACTGAATATAAAACAATATGTTCGATAAATCTTTTCAATCTCATCAAAAGTAAGTATTGATACACTTTCTCCTTTTTTCACATTTTTTTGTACAGGTTTAGAATATACGAGATGTCTTTCAGCAATGTATTTTTCAGGTGATCATTGTATATTTGATGGTATTTTTATAAATAGATACTAAGGAGTTACATACAATGCAATAAATATGAAATGAACACCTCTCAGCTTTAAATTTCCTATCTTTATATAATCTTTCAGTCATATGAATAAATCCATTCTTCGAAAAATATTTTGGATTATTTTTAAGAAGTGTCTTAAATGGATAACGAATACGAAAACACCACATTTCTGGTGTTTCATTACTATAGCTATATTGCAGATTATTTAATACCCGCACTATTATAGGATTTAAACCAGAATAGTAATTAGTTTTAATCATAGTAAAATTATAGCTGATTTAGTGATTTATAGCACTTTTAGCAATTTTTTATCAACATATACTAATGAATATTGATTCATTTTTATTCGATTATCCTTTTGTTCAAAAACTTCAGGGAGAAAATGTTGAATTTTCCCAACGTCATAGCTTATTTTTAAAAAAATCTGTATCACATGAGATCTCCCTGATAACTTAAATCACAAGATGAGTTACAGATCAGCCAATCAGATTTTTATTAAATATCTGATAGTGGAGCTCGTTAAAATTATACAGAAGCGGGATCAATGTCAGGTTAAGCGTAGAGTATATGACATTATTATTATTATATAATTAGTATGGCAAAAAAAATGTTAAAGTTATTTACACGTAATGCAAGCTGAAATTAATTCTGGCTTGCATTAATAACTTGAAATAAAACATTATTATTATTATTGTTTATTATTATTTATTATATTATTATAATATATTATTACTATTATTGTTATTATTATTATTACACTAATACTATTGATATTATATTACTATTAATGTTATTATTATTACGTGTATTTATCAACTAATTTTTATTAGGTATCGTCAATCTTCTGTATTAGTTTTAGTAATAGCTTCATCTGCAATGCCAATAATAAATACACTATAAGTAAATATTTGTGTCGTTGGTGATCTTGTCAAAATTATATTCTTTTTTACAAGATCACGCAAAACCAAATCATCTAATAATAAAAATGCATTCTCTTTAATTTTGAGCTTTCTTAAAAATTTTTCTGGATAAACTGGTAGTTCTTTGAACTTATTTTTAACATCCTTTGCTTGAGACTGATGGAATACATTAATTACATTATTTCTTATTATTTGTTGTCTTTTACTTATAATGATTTCTACCTTCCTCTTTATTAGCATTGCTACTTATAGGTTTCACATAAATTTTTCTTAGTTAATTTTTTATATCTATCAGACAAAAAGATATAAAATTTACCTAAGCTGTCCATTTGAATAAATCCCTATTATTGTTTTAATGTCTTTTCAGCTATACATAATAATTGCCTTTACAGACAATCTATCACGATCTGCATGCCCACTTTCTTGTACTAAGTTTTCTATAAAAATATACACATATTAGTAATTTTTATAGAGGGAGTTTATATTTTTTAACTTACTTATGGACATAGCAAATCCTGCATGAATTACTATACGAATATCTGAAATATTAATATCCATTCCAAACACATTTGTGGTAACCATTATCTGAATTTATCCAGATCTCCAGTTTAAAAGGGCGGTTGATTTTTGTTTGGCAAAGAATTTACTATGATACATAGCAATTATTTCTTTTGAAATTTTAGTTTGAAGTTCAGTGATAAGATTTTCACAGCCCTTTATAGAAGAATAATATATGATAAATTTGCTGTTCTCTATTTTATTATAGATATTAATAATATCATTTAAAAATTGTTCTTCGTTTTTCTTTTTTTTCGTGCTTCATAGATAATTGGATTATTCTCAAAAGATATTACAAATAAGAGAAGCTTATTAGTAATCTATTCCAAGTCGTGTAGTAATTTTCTGTAAATCAATTTGATGGCAAGTTGCAGTAAGAAGTAAAATATGCGCAGAGGTAAAAATTACTTTAAAATTTTTAAGATAAGCCTATGATTTATTAATAAAATAAATTTTGATTAAAGAAAAATTCTAAATTCTCTATAATTTATATCCAAAATAACCTACCGACAATTTTCTTGGTCTAAAATACAATGTGCTTTATTCACAACAAATCTGATTCCCTTTGTTATACCATAACTTTGTAGCATTGATCTGAAGCCTGCATTCATCTAAAACTTCTCAGCAGTTATAAATATAACTTATGTTAATCCACAAGCAATTTCTTCAAAAACTTTTTTTTGATACTGTAATGGTTGCTCTGTTGATGCATAAAGACCACCACAAGCAATTCCTGCTCTATTACTTGGTTATCTATAAGTGCTTTTAAGTGAGAAAACACCATGGTAATTCCTTGTAAAAGAATGGCTGCTATAGTATATCATAAACTTTTATCACCTCCTGTTTGTTTTATAATAATTGTATCCTGATTGTATATAAAACTATGAATTGCTTTCATTTGTCCATTCTGAAAATCATAAAACTAGTAAATATCATATAATGCTGATATACACATTATTTCAAAACTGATATTGACAGGTTTTTCAATTTTTGGTTGATAATTTTTATCAACAATCTGATCCCATAATCCACTTTCGATATAGAAATAGCAAACATGACAAAAACCTCTTGCGGTACATTTTGGAAATATTATGACAAGTAACACATTTTGTTGTTTCATCAAAATCTGGTATTTACAATGCAAAAGAAGGATAGAATTGATTTGTATCAATATTATATTGAGCTTTTTTGCCATAGGGAATAAGTTCCTATTAAAAAAAAATGAATAATAAATAAAACATTTATAAAGATACAGTATATACATATTTGATAATAAT